CCAAGAAACCACTTCTTTCAGTGCTCCTGCAACAAAACCTTCATTGCAAAGGTCCCATTTTTGGTGCAGAGGGTGTTTTGTCCCAGTGATACTTGAGAAATTAACTTAAGCAGTTGAAAAAATTAGGTTGGGCTGTTGAAGTGGATGTGTACAAAGTGTTCTGCTTGGGCAGCCTGACTGCCTTTAGTTCTTCCAGTGCATGAGGCTGGAAAGAGAGGCAGGAATTACAAACTCTCCTGGTTTTTTATTTGAAAACAAATGTTTTAAAGAAAACCTTCCTCAGGGTCACGTGGGAATAGAGCTTTTTATTTTCAGGACAAATAATACAGGGAGTGAGCAGACCCTCTTCTTTGACAAGCATTTTTAGTTCTGGATTTCTTGTGGCTGGAAGAATCCCTGGGGTTTGTGTTAATTTAGTGATTTAGCTGTGTCAGTACAAACCAAGATGAATGAGCAAGGAGATTTTTGTGACCTCAAACTGAGAAGATGTGTCAAAAATATTGTAAGACTTAAGTGGTGATGGGGAGTGTACTGATGCTGAAACTTTAACTCAGCAAGGGGTGCCTGGAGACCTCCCCTGGGCCAAGGAAACAGAATTTGGGGGTGGTTTTTGGGGAGAGGGGGCTGGTGAGGGTCTGTCCAGCTGCATGAAAGGCACTGAGATGACTGGAAGGCTCTAAATGAACACAAGGGTGGAAGAACCTTCCATCTGCCAGCTGCCAGATTTGGTTTGGCAGGGCTGAGGAGGACTCATCCTCCTTCTGGTGATGGATGAGAAGTGAACCTGTGCTCTCAGCAGATTTCCTGCTGGCACATCTATCTCCCCACCAGCCCCCTTGCTTCTGCCACAGATGCCAGCAGCAGGGTCTGTGTCCAAAACCTGCCAGCCCAAGGGAACACAGGGGGTGAAGTGGGGGTGCTGGGTTTTCTCTGAGGCAAGCTGTGATGCTGCCTCTGATCCACTGGTACTCTTCAAGGTCTGGCCTTCTGGAGATAAAAGCTCTGACTCCAGAGCTGCTCAGCTGGCACCTCTTGTCACCACTGCTTTTTGGTTTGTTTCCTGGGCAGGAGGAGAGTTAAAGGGTGGGTGTCTGTAGTGCTCACACTGCAAATCTCCAGGGCAGTTTGTGCCTCTGCTGGATCCTGTGTTCCTCCCAAGAAGTTCTGCTCTTCCTTGGAAGGCTGGCAGCCTCTCTTGGCTTCTCAACTCTGCAGAGAGGGCACGTGGCTGCAGCAGAACTTCATGGGGCTGCAGCAGAACTTCATGGGGCTGCAGCAGAACTTCATGGGGCTGAAGCAGAACTTCATGGGGCTGAAGCAGAACTTCATGGGGCTGAAGCAGAACTTCATGGAGCTGCAGCAGCTCTCAGCTCCTCGGTGAAGCAGTTTGTAGGGTCAGAGCCAGAAGGTCCCAGTTACCTGTTCCAGCTTCCTGAGCTGTGTGGGGTTTGGCCCCTCAGCAGGAGCTAGAGCAGGCACAGCTACATGCTAGAAAGCATTCAGATGGCTCCTGGGCTCTGGGAGGAGAGGACTGATGTTCAATTGAAGCCTGTTCCCTCCCTTGGGGAGGAGTGAGCACACCTGAAGGTCAGCATCATATGAAGGGTGTTTTTGGGGGGCACCTGTGAACTGCATTGAGTTGGTTTCAGAGCAGTTCCTGGGGTGGGTTTGTCCTTTGCCACCTTTTGGATCCTGTAAAGAGACCAGAGGTGTGCTTGGCTCAGAGAAGCTGACCTTGCTCTAGGTCAGATGTGAGGCTTGGTGAGGGTATTTAGCTGCAGCAGAACTTCATGGGGCTGAAGCAGAACTTCATGGAGCTGTAGCAGAACTTCATGGGGCTGAAGCAGAACTTCATGGGGCTGAAGCAGAACTTCATGGGGCTGAAGCAGAACTTCATGGGGCTGAAGCAGAACTTCATGGGGCTGAAGCAGAACTTCATGGGGCTGAAGCAGAACTTCATGGGGCTGAAGCAGAACTTCATGGGGCTGAAGCAGAACTTCATGGGGCTGAAGCAGAACTTCATGGGGCTGAAGCAGAACTTCATGGGGCTGAAGCAGAACTTCATGGGGCTGAAGCAGAACTTCATGGGGCTGAAGCAGAACTTCATGGGGCTGAAGCAGAACTTCATCTGCAGCAGAACTAACTTCATGGAGCTGCAGCAGAACTTCATGGGGCTGCAGCAGAACTTCATGGGGCTGCAGCAGAACTTCATGGGGCTGAAACAGAACTTCATGGAGCTGAAACAGAACTTCATGGAGCTGCAGCAGAACTTCATGGAGCTGCAGCAGAACTTCATGGGGCTGCAGCAGAACTTCATGGGGCTGAAGCAGCTCTCAGCTCCTCGGTGAAGCAGTTTGTAGGGTCAGAGCCAGAAGGTCCCAGTTACCTGTTCCAGCTTCCTGAGCTGTGTTGGGTTTGGCCCCTCAGCAGGAGCTAGAGCAGGCACAGCTACATGCTAGAAAGCATTCAGATGGCTCCTGGGCTCTGGGAGGAGAGGACTGATGTTCAATTGAAGCCTGTTCCCTCCCTTGGGGAGGAGTGAGCACACCTGAAGGTCAGCATCATATGAAGGGTGTTTTTGGGGGGCACCTGTGAACTGCATTGAGTTGGTTTCAGAGCAGTTCCTGGGGTGGGTTTGTCCTTTGCCACCTTTTGGATCCTGTAAAGAGACCAGAGGTGTGCTTGGCTCAGAGAAGCTGACCTTGCTCTAGGTCAGATGTGAGGCTTGGTGAGGTTTTTGTATCCTCTTCCAGGCACAGCTCCCTTTTCTGTGCTTTATCCTCAGGCTCTGGGAAAGAGAGGGACTATTTCCTAAAATCCAGAGTGCTTTGGGATGCCTGCCCCCTGTCTGGGTCCCCTGGGGAAAGGCCCTGGGTGCTTTCAGCATGCAGTTCTGCAGGAGGCCTTCAGCTGGGGCCTCCTGAGAGGGCACCTCAAAGCTCATGGCAGTGCTGACACCTTTCATCTCGGGGCTGCTACAAAACCCTGTGAGAGGTGTTGTGAGAAAGGGTGCCAGAGGTGGGCCTGAGGGTGGGGTTCTTGGGGAGAAGGATCCTTTCTGTGTGCCAGCTCTTAACTGGTTTTACTGGGAGCTGGGTGGCAGCTGACAATTACCTTTAAAGAGCACCTACCAGCACCCAGTTTAACACAGTCTACAACACCTCCTGTGCTGGTTGTTGCCAGCCCAGTCTGTGGGGATCCTCAGCAACCCCATGGAAGCTAAAGGAGGAGGAGGAGGAAGTTTTTTGTAGGTCAGATTCATGCTGAGGTCGTTTGGTCTGGCCTGGGAAAATTGGCTGCATGAGATCAGGGTCTTTTAAGGACTAAACCAGCCCAGGAGCACCAGCACTCTGAGCTGTGAAGCTGGTACCTGGGGGGGGTGTTGGTGCAAGTGATTGTGCAGGAACAGCCTGAAAGCTTCTTGGCCTTAAATGTGTGTGTGTGTGTCTTTCTCTCTGCTTTTTATTTCATTAGTGTGTTGGTGTGTCTCTCTAACCTTGAAATGCAGGTCTCCTAGATCAACAAGCAGGGAGATAAACTTCACTTTAATGGCTACAATTATATTTAACGAGGCTGAGCCAGCCTAGCAGAAAGAACAAGGTGTTCAGCCTGGCAGGGATGGAGCAGTGGCCTCTGGGGCACAGGGGAGCTGAGTGGGGCCTCCTGCTCTCACTGCTGTGGGGCCAAGGGCTGAGCTGGGGTGGAAAGGTTTGGGCTGAGTGCATTGCTAACCCCTGAGAGCACTTTATACTCTCAGTACATCATCCAAGCCCCTTGCTAAAGCCAACATGGTGCCATATGGTTTCTACACTGTCCCAGCTCCTGGAATACTCAAGCCACTATCTTTATGACTGGGTCATGCTTGGACTTTGTGCTCATATGGTAAATTAGGAGGAAATAAATGATCTAACTGTGAGCTGGGGGCTTTTAGAACTAATGAAAGCAGCTTGGGTTCATTGTGTGGTGATTTTCTGTTTGTGGTTTTACCCCCCTCTTGTCATTTTGGTTTTTTTTGGGGGAGGGGGTGCTGTTTTGGGTTTTTTTTTGTGCCAGGCTACTGAATTGTAGGGGCAGTTGATGTCATGGGATCTTTTTTCCCCTCTTGTCGTTTTGGTTTTTTTGGGGGGGTGTTTTGGTTTTTTTGGTTGTTGTTTTGGGGTTTGTTTTGTGCCAGGCCATGCACCCAGCTGCTGAATTGTAGGGGCAGTTGATGTCATGAGCCATGCAAACCCCCTCCCCAAATGAGGGCAGCACTACCCCCACCCATCTCTGGGTGCCAGAGCAGCTCAGCTTTCCTACAGCTCTCATGCAGGTGAAGCTCCTTCAGGGAGCACTTCACACACTGCCCAGAGCCTTGGGTAACTCCCTGCCTCCCCACAAACGTCCAGCAGCAAAGGGAAGGGCTGCAGGTGAGGTTTCTGCTGCCCCTGCCCCGTGGGGATGGTGTGAAGCAGCCAAAAGTGCAGGGGACCCACCCTGGCAGCTGCCTGAGCTGGGCAGGGGGCTCCCCCCGGGCCGTGGGCTCCAAGGGGGAGGTTTTACCCAGCACCTTGCTTCCTGGGCAGCCACTTTTGTCACTTCACACAGAGGAATTCTCCCTCGACTCATCTTGGCTCCTGCAGGAAGTGCCAGAGGAGCAGCCTGTGCCCAGGGCCAGCTCCTGTGCCACTCCTGCTCGTGGCTGCAGCCAGCCAACCCCCCACTGCTGGCACTGCTGCCCACACCCAAAGAGGTTTCCCCTGGAGGCACTGGGACACTGTGGGATGCAGCAATGGTGAACACTCTGAAGGCTTTTTTGGGTTCCTCAAAGGGGTGGGAGCGTGGGCACGGGTGCCACAGCCACCTCCAGTGAGAAGGAATCACCCAGAGGCAGCCAGGCTGCCCTGGAGCTGATGGGGAAGAGCTTTGCTGGTGGGTGGGGGCAGCACTTTGAGGCAACACCAACACCTGCAGCCCAGAGACTGTGGGAATGCTGAAGATCTCTCTTCTGTTTGAAACAGGTGCAGTATTTCTTCAAGATCCTGGACAACTGACAGCATCAGTCCTCACCCAAGGCAAAAGACCTGGACACAGGCTGGTGTGTGTGTTCATTCATTTATTTGTCCAATGTTTCAACCTGACTGAAATACAAGATCAACAAGAGCACTGTACTCCTGGCTATTGTTACATGTTAGAACATAGAGTTTTGCACTTTAGACAACATTTAACACCATTCTATGGGGTTACTGCATTGCTTTTTTTATAAAGTTTAAAATAAAAGATTTATTTTCAAACATGTGACTTTGGTTTATTTCATACATTACACTTTCCTTGCAGAAAAAAAAAGAAAAAAAAAATAAAATTGTACAACTGCATAAATATAAAATTCTTCCACCATGAAAATGGTTAAAACATTCAATAAAAGACAATTAGCACCACGGTGTGCGATGCCTCCAGCAGGAAAAGGAAAAGAAAAAAAGGAAGGAAAAAGAAAATATACAAAGCAAAAGAGTTGTGGCTATCACTGAGTGATGGCCTGACCCGCTCTCACACAACATACTTGAGGAGGAGGGGAAAAGTGGAGAGAGAAAGAGAGAAAAGAGAGAGGGAGACAGACAGCATTCGCTACAAAGCACAGTACACAATCCTCTGTCCTCCTTAACTTCACTTTAAGTTAGCTTCCCCTGCCACCCCTCCAAATAAAATACCCTCAACACCACGGAGAAAAGTCAGAAGCCTTATGGAGTGCTGTTCAATAGAGTCTCACAGGTGGGCCTTTCTTTGAAAAGGAACAAAAAAATAATCATGAGAAGGATCATGCCAGTTCTAGTCCCATGGAGTATTTACACCTTGGACAGCAAAAGTCTTGGCTCACGAGAAGTAGAAAACAGATACAATACATGGCTTGAAAAATGACCAGAGTGTGCATCTAGAGTACTGTACACTAAATAAAATACACAAGGCAGCAATACTTAGGGGCCAGAAACACTGCTGAACTACAAGTCAGTTATGGAATCATAATTTACAGTAAAAATGGGCATGTCCCAAGGCTCAATTTGTTGTTTTTTTTCCTTTTGTCATTTACAGTAGAATAAATATTTGTCACTATTGCTACACTTGGTTTACATTCTAACCTAGTAAATGCAGAAAGCTAGTGTAAAGCATACAGAGTACGTGTAGGTCCCATACGTATGACAGTTTGTTCAAGACTAGGAGGTTTTCTTTTTTGTTCTTTTTTTTTTGTTTCTTTTTTC